GAAGTCCCATTTGTCCATCTTTTCTCTTAGTTGCTGGGCTGCTGGGGTTCTATTGAGGAAGTCTTTGCCTATACCTATTTGTTCCAGAGTGTTTCCGGCTCCTTCCTGTACTAACTTCAGAGTTTTTAGGTCTGATGTTTAGGTCCTTGATCCATTTTGAGTTGATACTAGTACAGGGTGATAGACATGATCTAGTTTCAGTTTCTTGTAGTACTTTAAAATTTCCTAGTAGCACTTTTGAAGAAGTAAAGATAAATAGGCAAAAAATTAACTTTAATATATTTTAGTTAATCAATATTTATAAAGTTTTTCTTCATTTTCTTATACTACATGTTCAAAATCTGGTGTATGTTTAGCACTTACAGGACTTCTCCTTTTGGATTAGCTCCATGTCAGTTTCTCAGTGACCACATTTGGCTAGTAGCTCCTTTATTGGACCCTAGTTATAGGACTTCAAAGATCAGCAGAGGTCATCTGCCCTTTGGATCTCGCAGTCTAGTAGAGAGTGCAAGGAAACACGAAATGATGATACCAAGAGAAAGCATATTTTGTTCTATGGGAATGTGAATAAGTGCTGAGATTTAGCTGGTCAAGAAATCTTGCTAATGAAGGGGCATTAGCTGGGATGTTCATGATGAGTGCAAGTTGTCAAGGAAAATGCCAAGACAAAAACTTCAGGTAAAACAGCCTGTGCGGGCAGCAATTTTGGCGAGGCTGAAGGAGTATCAATGTCCCTAGATAAGGAGAGTCCACCAACAGCACCCGATAGCTAAGCTAAGAAGTTTGAATTTTATCCTAGACATCAGAAGGAACCATCTCAGAAATGTAAGCAAGAATTGGCTTTATTCGAATCAAATGCTGATTCAACACCGCTGTTTCTGAGAGCATTTCTAGACTGGGTGGATCTAGCTCTTCTAGACTTGTAAGAGATAATTGCTCCCATCTTCCCCTGACTTTGCCTGCAGTATTTCGCATTGGATGTTTTGAATTCTCATGGTGGAAGTATTTACATCACAGAAATAAGCAAGGCCCACAAATACGGACTCCCCTTCCCAACATTCACACAGCTTGGGTTCCAGTTGTTAAGCCTTTACCCTTATGCAACTGGAAATATGTGATATGTTCATTTAGGGACCCTCAATGGTAAATACCATTCTTAATCCACTGAGTTTATGCTTAATTTTCTGAATTGGTTAAATGTCATTGGAAATAATTTGTAGAAAACTGATGATTCATGGTACAATTTTGGTTCAAGAACAAATTATGCAAGGAAGAGGTAGAATATGGTGGTTTTGACCATTGATGCTGGAAACAGCCATAAATTCCAACTCCAGCTCTATTGTTTACAAGGCACTTGACTTTAGAATAACTAATTGTCCTCCTGGTTTTCATTTTCCTCAAATATAATAAATACAGTGTAATTTTAGAGCCTGTGTTGCCAGATTGGTCTAAATTTACATCTGTAAAGAACTTGTAGCAGGATCTGGAATGTAGTAACATTGCTATTGTTATTGCTCCAGAAAATAACGCTGGATCTAGAAAGTTAGTTCTACTTCCCACCCTCTAATTTAATTTAAAATAGCACTTTAATTACATTCACAGTGGTAGTAATTAATAACACAAAGTAAATGCAATTAGAGCATAGCATAACTTGATCAGAAGTGGCCATGTAAAATTTGATTTCATTAATATTACTGACGTAAATATAAGTATTGACTTTACATTAATGGCCATAGTCTTATAACATATCATAAAGAATTTTTGCTTTTGTTTTGAAATAAATTTCATACATAAATTAGGCAAGCTAAAATGTTAGTTACCTGTCATAAAATTCTATTTTATAATTATATGACCAGTGAAATTTTAGAATTTAATTATTTCATAGGTACTTTATTAATAATCTTAGTATATTTTCATATTCTTTCTGGAAATGATATTGCTGGTGGTGATTCATAATATCTGCAAGATTGAAAATACTTTTACAATAGCTTGTATTTTACATGTGTTTTATAATTCTGATCTTTGTCCTCTGCTTTCTTTTTGGTAATGTTTCTTTATTTTTATGCACAGAGATATTGCTACCTTGCCACTACAATTTTTAAATAGAAGCAAAGTCACAAAATCTTTCATTATTTTATATATACAGAGCCCTATATATTATTTTATATAGAGAGCCCTATTCCATATTCCCAAAGTAGAAAGTGTGCTTCCAACAGAACAGAAATGAAATGGATAGCTAACAAAATAACTAAAATTTATACCAAATTCAAGGGGTATTGTATGTACAATGAAAGCAATGTGCTAGAATTACATTTTCTTGTAGTGTTTTATTTCCTTTGTATGGAATCGATACCATCTGATGTTCAGCTTGTTGTTTATGCAGTCATATCTTCTGGGAGCCAGATGCTAGTAAGTTGAACAAGAATTACTGCCGGAATCCTGATGATGATGCCCACGGACCCTGGTGTTACACGGGGAATCCTCTTATTCCTTGGGATTATTGCCCCATTTCTCGTTGTAAGTACACTTAGTGTTCTTATTTTTCAGTTGAAGAATTTAAAATGTACTGCATCACCACTAAGACAATTTCTTAATCATAGATACAAATAGTACAAGACTTTGGAGTTGACTGCAAAATGATAATGTTCTCTAGAAAGCAACACACACATGCACATGCCATACATGGTCTCTCTCTCTCTCTCTCTCTCTCTCTCTCTATCTCTTTCTCATGCACACACACACACACACACACACACACAAGCACATGCACACACACCTACCAGTTTTAGATTATAAGGAATTTTGCTGACATTTTAATGTTGTTTATTCCCTGAGTAGACTCCCACTTGGGTTCCAGGTTATGGTTCTGATATGATTGGACTATAAACCACTTCTAGCCAGGCCCCCAGCACCAATAGACCTCAAATGGTGGTGCTTTCATCTTTTTCTCAATTCTTTAACCCAAGACTAAAAAACATGGATCTTTCCACCCACTTCTCTGAGTTCAAGAGTTTGTTTAAACAGTATTAGTGAACAAAATAAAATATACATGGGACTTGGTAAAGAGTGCACACCTGTAATCCCAGCAATGCAGAAGGCAGAGATGGGGAGGATTGCATTGTTGTATTAGGCTGGATCTTGGCAAAGCAGTGCTTCTCTATCTGAAAAATAAACTAAAGCAAGAAGGACTAGAGGCATGACTCAAGTGGTAGAGTACTTGTCTAGCTAGAATGAGGCCCTAAATTCAGTCCCCAGTAACAACCCTCCCTCAAAAAAAGGTATATGCCAAGTATATAATACATCTTTGCTATACTTTGTATAAAATGTATTTCATATACTTCACATAAAATACATGTCATTTACTTTCTATACTTCAATAAGAAAGACATGAGAATTCAGGAGGAAAATGAATCAGAAAGAATAAAAATAGCTAATAATTTACTGAGAAGACATTACAAAATAGAAAAGCATGAGAAGTCATTGCCACTAATCAGGATGACAAATGATAAAAATGATAGTACCGAATGTTTGCAAGAATTTGGGCAATCCTGCTCTCTCAATACTATGCTACTTTGAGTAAATTGAAAATCCTTTCTGGAAGTCTATTTGGAAAAATGTATCAAAAGCAATAATAATATGAAGGTGAATCAACTTCTCACTACTAATAGTTTGGTTTGGATAGTTCTTGTGGAAGGCTGTTCTGTGTGTTGTAGGACCTTTGTTCATATTCCTGGCCCCACTAGATGCCAGGAACAACATTCCTCCCCCAATCGTGACAATCAAAAATATCTTGACGTTGCCAATGCTCAAGAGCCCATACGAGTTTTGAGGCTGTACAGACAGACAGACAGACACACACACATACACTGGTTGTGAGGGCAAAATCATCCCCGTTAAGAACCACTGATGTTTATTAATATGCATTGAAATTAAAATATGTTCTCAATGTGTTATTATCAAATAAAAATCCTTTTAATAAAACTGTCAGAGGTAAGAAAGCATTTTACTATATCATGTATCCATGGTGCTGTGTTTTCAGCCAGTTTGCCTAACCACAATGTTAAGTTCCCTTATTTAAAAAGATTTTACTTTTGTAAATTAATAAGAACCTTGTTTTAAGAATGTTTTTCTTGTGTACTAGTTAGTAACAAGTACCTTGAGAATTGCAACAAAAGTACTCACTCCAGCAGAGAGATTTGATTTGATTTCAAAGAAATAATAGTGTTTGGTTGAAAAATGAAATTTAGGCACAAGTCTTTTTTTTTTTTTAATAAAATTGATGTCAAATTAAAGAAGTAATTTCTCACATTAAATAGAAAACCCACTCATGTTTCATGAAATTCTAGCATAAAATGCAAGCTTCATAATGTGTTGTTAGTCAAATACACTGATAAGATGTGAACTGACTCAACCTATTTTTAATACATTTGGAAATTCTTTATAATAATAAATAATTAAACACCTCATTATTTATAAGGAAATTACATTTCTTGTTATGTTTTGTTTTATCAGTTGTGGTCATATTTTTTCAAATTAATTAGCAGTTTCTTAACATTCTGCTATTTTTCCCTTATTAGACTTTGCAAAGATCCTGAAAATACTCTTCCAGAGACGTTGCCTTCTAAGTTTATTAACACTAATACAAACACAAAATAAAACCCCAAACAATCAAATCTACCAGAGGATATTATATAATAAAATTACTAAAAATTATTTTTTGAGGTGCTGAGGGTAGAACTCGTAGCTTTGCATATTAGACAATCACTCTACCACTGAAGCCCACTTCCCAAAACCCTATTTTTTCTGAATGTTAGTTTTACCTCACTATTATCTTCTGTGACATCTCTAAGAATAAGAATAAAGGAGGCTTATTGAATACCGTGTGATCTACAAAGAAATTAAAAACTGGCTTTTAAAATAGGTTACATTGCTTTCCCCGTTGGACTCCTAAATTGTAAAAACCACAGCAGCTAATCTAACATATATTTATAGCTCAGAGTTATGTGTTCCTGTAGGATATCAGGGCCCCATGATTTGGTTTATAAACTTAATTAAGAGAGATAGCACTTTGATAATTAAGTTTTCAAAAATTTTTTTCAATTATTTTAAAACTGAAAGTCACTAGTGTGCTATTGAAAGACATCAAGGTATTGCTACTATTTAATTAAATACTATTGCAGATAAGTCATTTCTATTTCAATGTGTACTGTACATTAATTCCAATAAATATTTTTGCTGTCATTTTTCTAAGTAATAATTACAGCCAGTATTTATTTACATTTCCTTTCTGGTGAAAGGCTAATAAAATTTATCATTTGATATTTAAATTCTTATTATTTATTTAACCTCAGAGACTGTACTAATCATTTTCACAGTTAACATTCCTCTCATGACACATGTAAAGAATTTTATTCATTTTTTCTAAAACGCTTACAAAATAATATATTTTTGAGCTTTTAAATATGCAAAAAATGTGTGTGTCAATACACACATTCATGCACACACATACGTGCGAACACAGCATATCTTAGAAAAATCTTAAGTATTAATTTCTGACAGTGTAGTAGTGAAGTTTCTACTCAGATTTCCTAAGCAGGAATCCCAGTCCCATGTCTCCATAATTGCCTTTGGCAAGTTACTCACCCTATTTATGACTCATATTTTGTATTTGTTAAATTGTGCATTAAAAGCTCCTACCTTATTAAGCCATTGCATAATCAGAACTTTAAACTTAACTTCTGTCTCTGTTTTTATTTATCTATTCATTTTTAATTTTTTTATCGAGCGGCTGGCCTATACAAAGCCCTACACTTTATGGTAGGTATACAAAATACATACATTGCTTCTTAACCTCAAGTCCTTTACAGCATAGAGGGGAAACACTGATACAGACAAGGCAACATAATCAGTTAGCATTAATAATATATATATAATTAATACATAAAATAGTATTGGGAGCACAGGTGTCTGCTTGGAGAAATATGTGATATTCACAAAGTTTTGAATTGGAACTGAATCTTTAAAGCCATAGTGAAAATAAAGCTTTCTTCATGCTTTCCAGTAAGATCCCCAGTAAGACACACACACACAAACATACACACTTACCTGTCACACATTCACTCACATATTTACTCTTCCATGGGGAAAATGTTCATCATTATTGTTTTCCTTCATCAAAATTAAGTTTCTCCAATAAGACAAAATTTATATCACATAAGTTTTTCAGGCATGAGTAACATGGTAGAGAGTGAGGGAAGTAAAAGGTGGTAAGTGGGGAGAGCATTTGAACGTGAGATGGAAAAGTCCTGGAAGTCCTAAAAACTTGGCTCAAAATGTACAACAGAAGAACTTTTGAAAAACTCAGACAGACAGAATCTTCAGATCTGATTTTAAATGACATTTAAGCTTATTCTAAAGTGTGAGAAGTATTGGATTAGAGAGAGCAAAGCAATCATTAATTATTATTAAAGTGTTAATTTTTTAAAACCCAACATTTATAATGCCTACAAATGACTAAATGTTAAATATTTTATTAAGGTACAATAATGAACTGATCACTCTGCTGATTTATTAGCCAGATGCTTAGGAGTAGAAGACTTAATACGCAAGTAAAGGATGTAATGAATAGCTTAATCCTTCTCACAACAAATAGAGGAATAAATATCTAGTTATTTAAAATTTATAAGTAATTAATGAGAGAGGAAACCCCAACATCCTTGATACTCTAATGACTATACTCTGTCTCAATCCTACTTTGTACTATGGACTAAAACACTGACCTCAGCTGACGCTAAGAAAAACTTCCTCCAGGATAAGCTAAAGGAAGATGAAATTTATGTTTGCCTTTACCTTTATTCATTTAAAATATGTAGATTTGTAAAATGAACATGAATAAAAATGCTTTAGTGTGAACTAATTCTCTCACGTATCCTCAAATAGTAATCAATTTTATAATATTCCAAAGAAATCCATGTGACATCATTGTTTTGTTTGTTGCTGGATTATCTGAGCTCAGGGCCTTTCCAGGGATTAATAACCAGCTGGATCTAAACAGTGCCTGACATTAAGCTTCAGGAAATGTCTTCTGTCCCATTCATTACTGTGCAAGTATTTTAGCATCTTCCAAGCCTTTCTTTTTTTGTAGCAACCAAACCTCAGGAGAGAGAAAATGAAAAAGGAGCTGGATATGAGAGTTTAGGTAGAATTAACGTATAGTTTCCAATGTTTCCTTTTTCCATATTTATTTTGAGTAACTCTCCAATCTTTAGAATTGTCTAACAACAAAACATAATTATATAATCCTCTTTTTCCATAAGTGATATTAACTTCTATTTTCCAAATTTCTTGCAGAGGCTTCCAAAGAACGTGCAGTTTCAATTACATTCAATAAAATGTAAACAAAGTTTTAAAAAATGATTTGAATTACAGTAAAGACAAAGTAATCGTTATCTATATGAAATTCCCAAGTAAACAATGATGAACAGAAATTCCCAATGGAATGCCATGTGCACACTGCAGAGCATCTTGGTAGGACAAGGTAGTTCTTTGCTGCCAGCAGTGTCATTCAATCTGCTGATGGTCACCGGATCACACAACTGAGAGACTCCACAGTCACAGAATAAGATGTTCCTAGTACCAGTAGGCACAGCCAATATTAGACAGTAAAAGTGATACAGAATTACTCAGAAAAGTAATATCACCTTTATGTTTTAAAAAAATGCCTACAATTTCAGCAAATTATCCAGTTGAATTTTAATATAATGGCTTGTTTTATATATAGGAATATGTATACATGAATTATATATGTATCTAAATATTCATTTTTCCAGGTGAAGGTGATACCACACCTACAATAGTCAATTTAGACCGTAAGTAATTTTCAAAATACAAAGTATATTATAGTCTCTATGTGTCACATTGATGTCATTATTTCTTCATAGAAAAATACCTCTATAATAACTTCCATAAAATAATAAGTCAATCTTTTTTTTAATTTAAAATATGTTTTCCTATATGTGGTCTAAAATATTCAAAGGCAACTGCATTCTGAATATGAAAATTCAACTCTGTTAAACTATTTACAAGATATTCTAAATGACTTTGCAAAGAGCATGAGTTTACTTTTAATTTGGAGCATAATGTATCAAGTGAACCACCTTTATGTATACCAATCTCCAAATGAAATTAGGATGCTAAAGTTGGAAAGAATAAAACTAAGGTTTGGAAAGTGTCTCTGCTCTGTCTTTCAGCATTTTGAAAGCCCTTAGTTCTGTTAGCAAAAGATTACAGTGCCTGAGAAAGTTAGTTATCCTTAGTGCGGGAATCTGTGGGCAATTGCTTGTTTTGATTTTCACATATTATTTTGGGTTGAAAGAAGTTCCTGGTGTGCTTTGCTTTTAAACCACCTGCTTGCCCTAGGCTGAGGAAGCAAATGAACATCTAATTTAGATCATGGACAGAGTACAAGAATAAGGCAAACGGACACAGCAGAGGGTCAGGAGAACATTTACTCCAAAGAATTTTGAATTATGTCATTTGGACATAATGATTTAGATATAATGATGCCATTTGGATACAGTTTCAATAAATATAATCTTGATGCTATGTTTCAAGATAGTTCTACTTTCTTACTATACAAATAAGCAAATAAAATTTGGGGTTCTTTTTCATTCAGGCTATTGATTGTTTTTGACCTTTAGAAGTAGTCACTGTAAATAACATTGTCTCATTTTATGTTAATGTTAGTGTTACATTAGATTTTCTATGTCATTCAACAACAAAGATGATGATGGTAAGTGTTAGGGGCTTGGTAGAGAATGATGGTCATTTAATTTTCCTTTTCTAAAATGTTCTTCTGATACAATTATAGTAGTTAGATTTGTTTAGCTATTATTATACTTAATAAAATTAAGAGGTACTGATTATTTCAAATTGTTATGTTTGGTCCTGTTTTCAGATCCTGTAATATCTTGTGCTAAAACAAAACAACTGCGAGTTGTAAATGGGATTCCAACACAAACCAATGTAGGATGGATGGTCAGTTTGAAATACAGGTAATTATGAATAGACACAAATCATACATGTTCAAACCATTTGCAGTGTCCCATTCCCAGTAAATGATCATGTGTGGTCATGAAGATTGTGCCCTCCACAGGTCACTCAGATGAGGAGGTAAAAGGGTGGATTGATCACATTCTTGCCAAATTGTAAGCCTTGGATTTTGCAATTTGTGTCCCTTAAAGTGTTCAGAAAGGTCCTGTATTTGTTCCCATAGTCCCTAATTCCAAGTGACAGTTCTGTTCTGATTAAGCAGAAGACAATTAGTCTTCACACTGCATTATCTCTATAATAGTTAAAATACATATGTTGTTAATTTTTCATCCCAGACTATTATGACTTGATTCTAACATATCTGTGTATAAACATATCAAAAATTTTATATTTGTTTTTAATTTCTGATGTCATTCAAATGAAAAATCATAATTTTGAAATTTGAAACTTTCTAATTATGTAAAGATGAATAAATCATCTTGAGTCTTGATTTTATGATAATTAGTACAAATAAGAATTATTAATATGTCCATTTTTCCATGCTTTTAAGAATCAATGATGTACAGGACTGGGGATGTAGCTAAGTGGTAAGCATGTCTGCCTGCCCAGCATGTGTGAAGCCTTCAGTCTGATTCACAGCACTGCTAAAAAAAAAAAAAAAATCAATGACATGTTCTGTATTAAATCACTTTGCAAATTATATCATAATTGAGATTAAGCTTAGTGTTAAATAATGAAATAAGAATTAATTTAAAGTCAGACCTCACAATTTCCCATATTTTATAATCATTAAAATGCAGTCTTCACTGATCTCAGAACTTTATCATGCTCTAAACCCAAAATGTGCCTCAATCCCTTGAGTTCTTCTTCCCTTGAGTTCTCACTGCATGTTGTAGCCTTCTTCCTCCCCATTTCTTGCTTGAAAATTTCTTCTCATTCTTCAAATCCCAATTGAATATCTCCTCTTTTAAGTAATCCTCCCTGTTCCTTCACTGTCAGTTTCTTAGAATAGAGGAAGAAACTATATCCCTTACTACCATTAATTCATAATGATACTGATATGGAATAGAGACAACCTGAAACTGAAGTCCTTTTATAAGTGTGCCAATTCATGACAAGCATGAAATTCACATCCGTTGATCTAAATGACTTTTTGTCACTATAATGTTGGATAGGATGAGTGAAAGTTCTCTTGTACCAGAGTCTTCTCTCAAGAAATAACTAATCAGATTTAATATTTGCACCAGTATATATATCGCTACCAGTAATTGTAGCGTAGCTGTCCTATGCATGTAGTACTGAAAAAGAATTATGAAGCAAACCAGAATATGAAGGCATACATTTAATAAAGACTAAAAGTTTTGGAGTGTTTAACTATCTTTAATTACAGAAAATGTTCTAAGAACGCACATCTCTCAGTTAATGAGTGATTCTTTTCTAACTGATAACCCCAATAGTAAAAAGACAAAAAGACTTCTGAATTATTTACCAACAAGAGGATATCCAAGGATACTATTTTGATAGTCTTCATTTTTGGGAATGCAAATAAAAAAGCATTCATTAGATCAGAGTACTAGAAACTTTTAGAAAAAAAACTATTTTAAATCCAGATTCTTAGTAACAACAGCTGTTAGTTATTTTTCCAAAACACATACTGAGAGGAATAGAAATTAAGACTGGATGTATACTCTTATCCTCTTGTGTGGTAGAGGCCATAAATAACTGTTGCCTTAATCTGGGAGTCTTCTAGTCTTACCCTCTGAAGCACTGAACATCTGTGCACTTTGGAATGCGAATTGTGAAAAGTTGTACTCTTTCCATGTTTCTGCCAAGAAGAATAGATTTACAGAATTTGATGTCAGCAAATAAATGTACTAGTACTTACTGTTCTCTAAAAAATATTTTACAGTTTCCTAAATGATTTGTCTCGCAAACATGTTTTACTTTCATAAATGAAATATTGCTGGCCATACACTTAACAAATTTATTCATACTCAGTTATATTTCAACAGATCCAAACTAAATAATGGTAGAGAAAGAAGGGAATCATGTAAAAATAACAAATTTTGCGACTGCTGTATGGTTTTTGAGGGTTTAAGTGAAACCACAAATTTGTGTTTTTTCATTAGCAAATGTCAAATTTAAAGCAGAGTCCCTTTTTAAAAAAATGTAATCATCCTATACATGCAGCACACATATTCTCTCATAAGTCTAGGTGTACGTAGACATGAATGTGTATGTTTAAAGCAAGTCCTTTAAACTGTAAAAATTGACTCAATAAAATCATATTCACATTATGGAAAAATGTTATAGCTACAATTACTCAATATCATCCTTGAGATAAAAGGATTACTACTCATTTTGTCTCAATTGGGTTAATTTCTACATTTTCCTCTCCAGTGCATTTATTTTTAACAAATGGAGCTGAATATTTTGCATGAATTGGCAAGCTCTTTTTCCACACAGACATTACTGGTTTATCTTTTCTTTTTCTCACAGAAATAAACATATCTGCGGAGGATCATTGATAAAGGAAAGTTGGGTTCTTACTGCAAGACAGTGTTTCCCTGCTAGGTAAAGTATTTTTTAAATTGATATTTTTTTTAGCACTTAAAAATCTGTATGCCTTTTACTTAACTTTTAAGCTTAGAGCGTGCATGTTTTGCAGAAATTCATCAGCATGGGGTGAACAAATTAATGTCTTTAAAAAATTTGGAAAGCTTTGTATTCACTTTCATTTTCATATTCAATGCTAGTTCCATACATGTTTCTTGTGATTAGCATTAGTTTTACTTGGGAAAAATGTTTGCTTGAATTATGCAAAGAAGTATTGTCCCAACCTTCTACTTGTACTTAGTATGTGTAGGTAGAAATACTTTTTCTGAATTGTCAATAAACTCCTCTCAATCCTTGCTTCTGCCTCCTTATACAGAGACAACCTTAAAACCATCCAATGAAAATTAGCCTAAAGGATAGATAAGCAGGCAGCATTTGTAAGCTTACTTCCTAATTCTTATCCAGGTTACTTTGATTTTGTTGGTTTAAAACTCCAATCCTTAGTAATAAGCCAAATACATACACAGCTGAGGTAAAGTGAAATTTTCAGTAAAATTGTAATTCATGTAAAGAACTTTACCTGATATACCCTTTCTCCACATCCTCATCCCCCATACCCCTACTGATGAAAGAGTATAGGAGGGTGAGAATGGTGCAAATACTGTGTACACATGTATGTAAATGGAAAAATGAGACCTGTTGAAACAGTTCTAGGAATGGGGGAGGGGACATAAAGGAGAATAGTAGAGGGGGTGAATTCAAGTATGACATTTGATACATTGTAAGAAATTTTATAAATGCCACAGTGAACTTTACCTGAGAATTTTTCACAAGTGACTTACTCTTTAGCAGATATAACAAGTTTTTTTAAACTAGCTATTTAGAATTTCAGCAATTGTAAAGCTCTTTCTACTTCAAAACACTGTGGCACTCAGAATCTCCTGTAAAAAAAATGTGTGGCTATCTATTGTATCTGAATGAAAATTTAAATTTGGGTTACCTATCCTTATAAGCTAAAATAACAACATATCTGAATAATATTACATACTTTGGAATTATATTTTATATGCTAATTTCTTATTTAGAAACAAAGACTTGAAAGACTATGAAGCCTGGCTGGGGATCCATGATGTTCATGAGAGAGGAAATGAGAAACGCAAACAGGTTCTAAATGTTTCTCAGCTGGTATATGGACCTGAAGGATCAGATCTGGTTTTATTGAAGCTTGCTAGGTTAGTTCCTTTAAAGGATTTTGGTGTTTTAATGCAGACTAGAATTGCTGGAGCATTTTTCTTCATTTTCAGTTCTATGGCTATTCTTTAGATTTTTATTCTCTCATACATTATGTATCATATATATTTATATAGGTGTATATGTTCATGTGTGTGAATATAGTAAGAGGTATGTGCAAAATGTTTAAACATGAATCATGAAGTTGGGACAATAATCTGATCAGCCTACTTTAAAAGTGAAGTTTGAGCATTTTTTGATAACTTTGTAATGATTTGTTAAACAAATATGGAGACTATTTATTATTAGGAAATAAATGCTCTTCTTTACTACCTGTTCCAGATTTTGTCAGTATATATTAGACAGTTCTTTTTTCTATTTTTATAAATAAGACATCATTCTCTCTAAATATCATACATGAACACTACATTAAAAAAGTTAATGTTGTGTGGAATCCAGATGAAAGTACTTACTGTTCAATTTTTCTCTTTTAGACCTGCTGTCCTGGATAATTTTGTTAGTACAATTGATTTACCTAATTATGGATGCACAATTCCTGAAAAGACCACTTGCAGTGTTTATGGCTGGGGCTATACTGGATGTAAGCTACTTTTTAAAAGATGAGGCAGTATCATATTTATTTTATATACAAAATTTGTATTCATTTCTTATCTCTCTTGCCTTTGCCTTGTGCTCCTTAACTATGTACTCTTTGCACCATTCCAGTGATCAACTCTGATGGTATATTGCGAGTAGCACATCTCTATATCATGGGGAATGAGAAATGCAGTCAGCATCATCAAGGCAAGGTGACTCTAAATGAGTCTGAATTATGTGCTGGGGCTGAGAAGATTGGCTCAGGACCATGTGAGGTAAAAGGGAAGTTCTTGAATAAAGAGTATGTGATTAGTAGCATAGTGTGTTTTATGTTTATTTTCCTCAAATAAAAATAATTGTATACCAACCTGTTCTTGGACTAGTGAACTGCAGAAGACAGCCTTGTATTATTTCTGTGCATTTCATCTAATTAAGCAGTGAACTACCCTGTTCCATTCACAGCAAACTGAGGACATTTGTCTTTCAAAAGAACAATAAACACAGCCAGAACTCTAAGGGAAAGTTGTTCACATTGGAAGTATCCAACTCAGTTTGGTATAATAGATTGTATTTTTCTAATGTTTCTAAATTTATCTGATCTGAAATTCTCCCTATATGAACCCCATTAATAATATTAAAAGATACAGCCTGGGTTTTTAAGTGTGCTTTTGGTTAAGTTATGTGTGTGTGTGTGTATGCCTGTGTGCCTAAACAAATTCTATTTTTAAAAATCTAAAGGTCAGAGTTTGTGACTTTAAGGGCTTGGACATTTTCATTTGTTAGGCAACTTTTCTTTAAGCTTGGCAGAGTTCCTATCCTTATTTTACATAGACAAGCTGTTAAACTGTTATTTTAGATGTATTTGGAGTGAGAGAGATAGTCCTCCAACGTTCAGAGTAGTGGGGTTATGGAAGATGATGTGTAATAAAGCATGAAATGAGGCTGATAATAATGAAATGTTTGTTTAGTGTGTAAGCAAATGTATCCCTAAGTGTGGAACATAAACATATATTGAAATGGTCTGTACTATACCTTGTTCTGAGATTGTATTCTTAAAAAGGAAAAGAATATGTTTACTAAATTAAAGAGCTTTTAGAACTGCTTTAAAATGATAGGGTTAGAATTCAATATGTGTTTCTGAACACTTTACATTTTGGTCTTTTCAGCAAATGAGTATTACTGTGTCATAACAAGAGGCAATTATAGCAAGAGAACTCCACCAGGACAAAAAAATGAGTGAACTTAAATCCTTAGAGTGAGTTCAGGACTTTGGAGCTCCCCACAGTCTCAGAGATCCTCTAGAAATCAGTGTCCTTTTTCCAGCCCCAGGTCACTACTTGGTGACTGCATTTCAGAAAGAGTCTCAATCCAGATCACAACCAGTGTACTTTTAGTTTCCTTTTGTCCCTTTATTCTATATGCGTGATTTTTGTCCTTATTGAGAAGATCTGACATTCAATTGATTCTGCCACTTCTAAAAAGGACATTTGTCCTCTAGAATCTTCATATGTATATAAAGAGCGCTCTCTCTCTCTCTCTCTCTCTCTCTCTCTCTCTCTCTCTCTCAAATCTCTTGGGCTTTAACTCTGCCTGTCACTTGCTAGGCAAATGCTGTACCCCTTAAGCCACAATCATAGCCATTTTTTTTGCCTAGACCATCCTTAAACTGTGATTCTCCTACCTTTGTTTCTCACATAGCTGGGGTCACAGATATGTTCCACCATGCCCAGCTTGTTCTTTGAGATAGGGTTTGGTTAATTTTTTGCCTGGGTTGACCCCTAATCATAATTCTCCTATCTCTGCCTCCCAACTAGCTGGGATTACAAGTGTGAGCCACTGTACCCAACCCAATGGTGTGTTATCTCCACCAGCATCACAGAATTAATTTCACAGTGATATTCTTTCTAACCACATTACTTTTAAAGGAAAATTAAGGTAGCACTGAACATACTTTTTAAAAAATTGTTGTACATTATGGCATTTACAAAAGTTATTACAATGTATCAAATATATCATACTTGAATTTACTCCCTCCACTGCTCTCCTTTATCTCCCCCCGGAATAGTTTCAACAGGTATCATTTTTGCATTTATGTACATGTGCACACAGTATTTGCACTGTATTCATCCTCCTACACCCTTTCCCTACCACCTCCCCCACCTACTGGTGCCACCCTCTTCTCTCTGGCCCCATGGCAGGACTTGTTCCACCCCCTTCTCCAATTTTGTAGAAGAAAAAAGGAAAAAAAAATGAAAGAGATGACATTTTTGCTTGTTTAGGATAAAGATAGCTGTTGTTTCCTTGTAGCATTTCCATGTATATGTGTATTATAACCCCAACTGGTTCATCTCCTCTATTTTTTTTTATTCTACCTTGGACTGAGCATACTTCTAAAGAAGGTAAAGATGCTCAAAGCCAGTCACTGTGTTCTTAGGAGGCTTCGTGATACATAAAAATGATGCAGCACAGTTGTGATGGCTTTGTATAACAATATATGAAATATAATGTATCCATCCATATATATAAATATTCACAAATATGTGTAGATATAAATCAATGTATCAATCTGTATCCAGCCCCCATCTAGCTCCAAAATGTCATCATACAAGATAGGTCATGTGGTCAGGTGTGGTGGAACATTCCTACAATCTCAAACTCAGGAAGCTGAGGGAGAAGGATTGTGAGTTCTAGGCCAGGCAAGGCAACACAGTGAATCTGTCTCAAAAAACATGAAACAACAAAGACCTGCCATGAAATTATAGACTATGCTCCAGAAAAAAGGCATAAAATATAAATATAGCTAGGTTAGTTACTATTAGCGACAGTGAGTAGAGAAACATTTTTCCCCAAAAGGCAACTTTCAAATAATACAATTATTTTTTCAACTATAATATTTTAACTTTGTAAGATAATCTGGGGAAAAAGAATCTTTGGATAAAAGAGAAGATTTAATGCATTGAAATCTGTCGAAGTAATTTTAGGAAGGGAAATGGAAGGGGGGAAGAATGGAGGGGATGAACCAAATGGGTATAATATATGTCTATATGGAAATGTCACAATGAAACCCTGTACAGCTATCATATACTAATAAAAACATTTAAATATAATAATAAAATTATTATATAAAAATAAAAAGTAAAAAAATTATGTAAAAACAAAATTTTATATGAAATAAAATATAATAAAATATTTAAATGTAATAAAATTATTATAATAAAAGAAAATAATGAAATATAATAATAAAAATTAAATTGTAAGTCTGGGCAAATGCCAAGGTCTGTGTATCTTCTGAAAAATGAAAACAGACAAACAAACCCATAGGTTTCTTTCTTTACCAGTATTTTTCTATATTTTATAAATTTTCTATATTGAACATATTTTGAATATTAGATGATCAAAATAAATATAAAATTTAAATTAAATAAGTATCAGTAGTTATTTGAATTTCTGCATTCAACAAAACCAAAGGATGAATAAATATTTTGGAGAAAGCAAGTCATTCTTAAACGAACACTACACGTGACAGATTACTTCGTACTCCAGTCTTAGCTAATTCAGTAGACAACCAGATTCCAATTGATAAAAATCAGTTTTTATCTCTTTGCATTTCTGAAGCAGTTATTCTATTTTTTGAATTTATAGACACTTGAAATGCAAAGCAATATTGGATAATGTTAATGATTTATTATTTTTTATTTCTAAAATAATACTTTGCTGTTGTTGCATGTTTTCTTCCTAGGGTGATTATGGTGGCCCACTTATTTGTGAACAACATAAAATGAGAATGCTTCTTGGTGTCATTGTTCCTGGCCGTGGATGTGCCATCCCAAATCGTCCTGGTATTTTTGTCCGAGTTGCATATTATGCAAAGTGGATACACAAAATTATTTTAACATATAAGGCACAACAATCATAGCTGAAGTAAGTGTGTCTGAAGAGCCCATCAATACATGGTGATTTTACTTGGAATTTTCAGAGAACGAGGAATTAAAATGTCACCTGAAGCAATCCTAAAACAACTACTTGAGTGTCATGTTTGTTGATACTCATTAATATATCTGGGTGTTTTCTGTTCTGTTTGTTAGTGTTATTTTGTAAATGTTGAAGTGAATTAAGGTACATGCAAGTGCAGTAACATATCTCCTGAAGATACTTGAATGGATTAAAAAATGCAAAGGTATAATTTCTGGATGATATAAGATTTAATGGAAATAATCAATTAATCACTCTTCGCTGCTTTCCAGGTTAATTTCTTATGGATGAATCAAACAGAAGTTAAACTTTATTTTAACCTGACCAAAACAATTTATACCTTGTGCTTGTAAATAACACTACATTAAATTATGTTACCTTTCATATGCCACAGTATAGTTCATTCAACATGTATCCAATACTGGTTATGCAAACATACATTTATAAAAACACATATACCTTACAAATACCCGAGAACATACATGCCATTTGCCACAGTTTAAATCATGGTGTAATCTAATGTAGTCCCTAAATATATTGGAGGTATGTATCTGTAGTTTTTCTTTAAGAAAAAAAAATTAAAATTTCTAAAGACCAGTAGAAATATTCAGGAATGGTACAAGAAAACTGACTATTTTCTGCAAATAATCTATACATGACCTCCACCAGTAGGCACTTCAAGTGAGGTCAGGACCCACAGAATTAAATATGCCTACTCTAGGTATTTACATATATTTATTATGATAGCTATTTCATGTAGTTTTTAATTATTAAAAGGAAAAGAGTAATATGTGTATTTGTATTATTTCTTTCCTACAAATTTAGGGCCACTTATTTATGCAAGATGTTGGTAGATTTATTTTCCTAAACCATTTCTTAAATCTCAAATATGTGTCTAAATGAAGAAATTCATAAGTGTCTTCATCATTAAAAGTGTATGTAAGTGGGTTATTTCCTAGATTTGCTGCTTCTAGAAGCAAGTGGTTTCCTTAAAAATTTTTAGAATTATTTAAGATGAATATTTTCATATGTCTCAAAATTTTGTTACTAGCTGTTCATTAAGTCATGCACTGAAGTGTATTTCAAGAAAAAAAAAGTGAAATTATGTTTTCATCCTGGAAATGTGTTAGCCTATGAAAGTTTTATTCAAGTAAAGGGAAGATGAAAGTATAAAAAGAAAGGAAAGGAACTAATTTGTCTAAACTCTGTATTCAATTATTTTTTAAAGTGTAGTTGAATCTGCTGAATCAGATATTTTATTAAGATATTTTCATTTTATCTTACTTCACTTAATGTAGTTTTTGCTAGTGGAATAGGGAATATTCATTTAAATTTTTGTTCTGTACAATAGTCAATTTATCATATTTATTTTTATGTTTTCTATGATTAGCTAATAATAATGAATTTGTCAAGAAATGGGATAATGAGATGTAATAAAATGACTGAATTGTCACAAAATCTTCCTGTACAAATCAGCAATAATTAAAAACAATTATATGAATGTTTTGAATCCAGCTTTCCCAGTTCTCTAACTTGACTCTCAAATCATCTTTATTAAGGCCAAGGATCCAAACAATGCCATAGAAAGTCACAACAATTGTGACACTTTAAAATACTTCATGCTTTTCTTGTGAATTTCCATGGAAAGAGAGATAGGGATTACCTAGAGACACTATGTGGCTAACTTTTTAAACATTTGAACTCAGTGTTTTCCATTTTCTTAAAGGATAGAAGCATCTGTAAATCACCAAACATGGTGCACAAGGCAAGTCTCTCTTTGGGAGGTTTCCTTTGTGATGGGGGAAAGGATGGGATGGATATGAACGCTAAATGAATGAGATCTATGTTACTTTAGGTGTAAGGGTTTAATCGTGTCATTACTCTCTAGTGAAAGGTATTGTTTATTGGTGTTTTTTTATGAATAAATTTCAACTTATCCAGAAACTCACTTTATTTTACACAGTGGACAAAAGGGTCTTTTAACTTAAATTTTTCAATGCTATTTTGTTTTGGCTGTTTGAATAATGGTTATATACGCTGTTGTATTTAGACATTTTCTTATGTCTACCAGGAATAGAAATGTAAAATTAAACTATTTGTCATAATGCCTCTGCTGTGCAGAAGGGATGATAATCCTTTTGTATATTTCTTTAATTTTATTGTAAAATGTGCAACGACTCTTACCTATTTGCTGCAGGCAGGTCCTCAGTAATGTGGTTTGTACTGAGTCAGTCTCCAGTATTAACAGTCTCTTGCTTGCTCTCAAGTGTTTCAAACTGCAGGAATGTGAGACACTGGAAAGCAAGAAAAATAGCAATAGTGGCTTGTGTGATGGCAGAGTTGTATTTCACTTATTCCTGTGAATATTCTTGTTGGTACCAATGGTACTGTACAACGTGAATGTTATAGCTACAACATTCTCTTGAAAAGAACACTGTCAAGAAGTGGAAAATTGCTATCAGGTATTTTCTTATTGTTTCTGAACTTTTTTTAAAAAAAAGAAATACTAGTTTTGCAAGATAGTGAACATAGGTAAAGAGTTTTAATAAGCTCTAATACTAAAAAGACATATTGATTTACTGAGGTTCAAAAAGCAACTAATTTCAATTGTTATAGCTTCTATTTATGAAAACTCATTTAAAAATAAATTAAGTTGAATAAAAAAGACGTTTGTCTTTTAAGTATTTTAATATGTTACTTTTCATGATTAAGTTAAAAATCAGAATATATCTTTCATTTTTCAACTGAGTTTAGAACTAAGAATTTACTAATACAAACAAATAAATTGTTCAAATTCTCCGGATCCTATGACTTTTGACAGTGTAACTTTTAAGTAAGTTCATTTCCATTTGCACACAAAGTTTCTGTCTTTAGGAAACTGAAAATGGAAAACTGTGGATATTCTGACTGTCTTGTGTGTATATAGGAAAATGAGAAGCTGCCTGTGGAGTGAGTGGTGCAGCTGGGTGCTCACCCAAAAGGGAACACTGTGCTTATGACTTGTACTATAAAGTTTCTGTAGTTAATAAAGTTGTTATTTTTATAACCATGATTATATTATTATTCTTAATAATAAAATATTTTATCAAAAAACTTCCCTTCTCTTTCATAATTATGTGTGTGGATATGCATGTGTCTGTCTAGGGCTTTAATGTGGAAGACAGGAAGAACATCTTTCATTGACAGAAATTACCTGGCTTTTGTCACAAGGAATGTCATGTAACCTGTTTATAGGTCTGAGATAAAAATTTAACTTTTTCCAATTTCTATCCATGGGAATATCAGAGCTCTTCAGCAAATCATTAATCCTTACTACTTTGATTTGTTCAACTGTGTAAAGTATAATCATTGTCATTTCTCCTATTTGCTAGAAAGGCACCATGCTTTAATTTGCCACCACATACAAAATATTGCAAATAATCACTTAATTTCTTTTGCCATACCACTATATGTTAGAAAAGTGGTTTTAAATGATTAATCAATATGAGCTACCTTTTGGAAATATTCATTGAATTTAGAAGAATATGATTTCATTTATTTAATTCAAGTTGGAAGAACTTGTTATCGGCGATCTAATCAAGAGCTCTGTGACACCACTGATTATTTCAAATTGTGTAATATTGTCTCTCTATCAGAATGATGGCTCTACTAATTATTATGGCATAGATACTGATCTCAAGTGATAATTAACATATCTACTTCTATAAACTGTATAAAATAAGTATCTTTTTGATGATTATTATTAAAGCAGAATACGCACTCATTTTTGATGCCAATAAGAATATTTAAGTTGTATATACTGTTGAATTTTCTAAAACTTGATGTTTTCTCCAGTTTCTAGGACTCCATCCCATTCTAAAAATGTATGTTCTGCTAGTTAAAGTAAAATAGTCAATGAAGCTTCTTTAAGAGCTGGCATTTGAATTGGTCATGGTGGCTCACACTTGTAATCTCAGCTACTCAGGAGGCAGAGGCAATTTGAGGCTATCCTGTGTAAAAAGTTAGTACAACCCATTCCAATAAACAAGCCGGGCATGGTTGTAACATGGCTGTAGTCCCAGTTATGGGAGGCATTGGTAGAAGGGTCAGTCAGAGGGCCAGTTCCAACCAAAACTTTCAGCATTAGCTGAAAATAACTAAAGCAAAAAAAGGTTTGGAGGAGTGACTCAAGTGGTAGAGTGCCTTCCTAGCAAGCATAAGGCCTTGAGTTCAAACCCCAGTACCACCACATAAATTAATAATAATAATACGATATTTTATCAGTTTCTCAATGTAGTAAAAAAGTAAGCTATGTAAATTTATCTGGAACCTAATTTTTTTTTAAAAAGCTGGAATTGTTGGTTTCCTAATATAGTTTTATTTATTTACTCTTATAGATCATGATGCTCTAATTAGTCACTATTTGTCAATGTCCTGAAAGAATCTCCTTGGTTTGCATTTCCTCTGTGATTTACTCCAAGGATTCTAATCTACACAGGTTCTATCCATGACCTATGATCTCCTGAAAAAGCTTTTCTATAACTCTTTAAGCAAATCACAAACCTGGCATTTGAAAGTAACAGGAAAAGTTTTAGTCTAAATCACCTGTATTTTTCCTTTGTACTTTACATTTATAAATTTCTCATTTGTATATATTATTTATGTAAGCTGAAATTTAGGATAACGTCAACATAAAATGGGATAGCTAAAGGAATTAGGGCAGAAATTACGGTATTATAAAGAATGTGTTATTGCCTAAAATGCATCTAATGAGATAGAACATACTTGGGAAAACAAACTTACTTTAAATAATTATAAATTATTTGTGTATTTTTTGCTTTAAAAAATAGAACCCCCCCACAACAACAAAATTATGACCCTTATGTACAATCTAACTCTAACTTTGCATCTTTATCACTCTCAAATACTCCTGAATCATGTTCATCACTTTATATTCACCATTTGGCAAATATCTTTCCCCACTTTAACTTCATGCTTGTGTTCACAGCTTTCCTTCTACACCTCAAAATCCTAAATGATCTTTTCCTGTGGAGACTGCACGCTCAACCTCCTGATGCAGAGTTGTCCTCAGGGGCTCCTTCTGGCTTGCTGACTCTGTCTATGTTTACATTCGGTTTGCTTTATTTACTTTTAGTTTCTTTTTATTCTTTTGGGAGAATGAAGTTTGAAATCAGGGCTTCCACCTGCAAAGCAGGTACTCTACCACTTGAACCACATCTCCAGTCCATTTAGCTCTGGTTAATGGACTGGGGTCTCACAAACTATTTGCCCTGTGCTGACCTGGTAAACCGGTGGCACCCAACTTATTTTATTTCATTTTTAATGTGTGATCAGTTCCACTCAGTTTGTGACCCTCAATATTGTCCGCTCTTAATCTTTGTGCATTCTTTCTGTGCTTCACAAATAATGATGACAAATTTATTTTATATTTAATACGTAATTCATTCTCTTTTAGAAGGTTTTTTTCTTTGTACAAATTGTCAACTCTCACAAAGGGATAGAAATTTTAGGAGTTTGTATTTTATTGTGCTATTTAGATTTGAAATGTGTAAGTGGGACTATTTTTAAATGGTTTATTTTTATGCTTTATGATGCAAGTGGCAAAGAGGATTTTTTTCCATCTTTTAATTGATACATAAAATTGTACATATTTGTGTGGCACCATTGATGTTTTGACACATGTATATACGTATAATGTTCAAATCAGGATAAGTATGTCTAGTTCCTCTACTATCTCTCAGTACATATTCATTATCGATGGTCCCTAATGTGCAACAGTAGGCCAGAACCACTTTCTCCTTTTTAGATGTAATTTCATAACCATGGATCAACCCCCGCCCCACACACACGCTCTCCCCACACTCTGGTAACCACCATTCTTTTCTCAGTGCCTATGAGATCAAGGGTTGCAGATTCCGTCTGTGAGTGCGATCACATGCCTCGTCTGCCTGTACCTGGCTTGTTTCACTTCACATAATGATCTCCAGTTGAATCCCTGGTGTTGCAAATGGCAGCATTTGCTTCTTTTCTGTGGTTTAATATACTCCACTGTGTGTATGTACCACATTTTCTTTATCCCTTCCTTTCTTGACAGACACTTAGGATGTTGCAATTTCTTGGTCAGTATGAAAAGTGCTGTAATAAACATTGGAGTGCAGATTTCTCTCTGAATATGGGTTTCATTGTCTTTGGAAATGTAGCCAGGAGTGT